ATAGCAGCCTGTAGTAATACTGCCCTAATATTGAGGATTATTGTTCATATTAAATTGACAACGAAGTGACATCATTAACAACTTCATGGTGAAACCTTTATAAAACTCTTTGAGAATATTTGAAGTTTTCTTTTATATTTGGAATATAAACCCATATAGATTCAATATAGATTAAAAGATTCGTTGACTGAAACTGTGATAACGAGTCCATACTGCCCCTTGAAAAAATGTTTCTTATTATTAATTAATGCTGATTAATCAATCGCTTTTTATTAATGTTGCGAATTACGTGGTGTAATTGATTAAAAAATTATTGCTATCTCGCCCTACTGTGTTAAAATTAATTTCTGAGAAAAAACGGCGAAATGGATCTTGTTGAAAATTTTTGTTCTTTATTTGAATTCTAAACCCGCCTATATGAAAATTCCATACAGAGTGTCTTTCATTTATTCACTTATATTCTGCTGTACCCATCAAACATGGATACTGTCGACTTGCCAAGGGATAAACAACGGAGATTAAGTGATTATCAATTAATTAATTAACAACGAACGCGCAAACATAATCAAGCTGCTGATAAATTACCGTTAATCTGGAGAGATATTGACAGTCAACAGGAGATTAATAATAGAAGATCTTATGTGGCTGGGCAAAAATTCCTCGCTTAGCGTTGACGACTGAATTCTATTTAGTAAAGAGCTAGAAACAATAATATTTCAGAGGATGTTGCACATTGTTTGAGATTCGAATCTTTTATAATAAATGATAATAAAATTAATAATAGTTATTTTTGTTAAATATTTATTTAGGAAAATTTTTTTTTGCTGAAAATCTTCGCTTGAACAAGTCGAAAATTGCCCGATGATAGGTTGCATAAAAATATTCAATCGAATTCAAGCAAGTAGCTTTTAGGTTCAACGGTGCGATGAATTCAATTTTATTGAGAAAACATGTTTTTTTAACAATCTCATATTGCCTGCCTCAATGAATCTATTTATAAATAATTGTAATCAACTTAGAAACGCATTCTCCGAGGTAAAATTGACGAAGTTTTGCGAGGAAATGTAAAGCTTATTAAAGCAAAAAGCAATGTGGCAGAAGAGAATTATTTTGAATTTTTTATAAGATTTATAAACTTAGAAAGCAAGCAATGTTTACAGATCAATTTGTCAGATCATTGATTACACAATTACAGATCAATGTCAGTGCTTTATCAAAAAACACTTATTATTCAACTGTGAGCTAATAAACTACAGTGAAGGCTGTGAAAAAAAAATTCGTCGTCCCTAGAAGTTAGACTCTTCACGTGAGGTATCCTTGATACCAAAGCAGCCTATGCGGTTGTGTTCTACCTTCCTGTCGCGTCACAAATTGTAAACGGGACAGAAAATGCGATAAGTCAGATAAGGCTGGTCCAGATTATCTGCTACATAATATTTATTTGTAATTCAGTCAAAACATAAAAGTTTCATTTAAAAAAACGTTATCGAAATGATTATATTTAGGTTTAACACTGATTTGGAGAAAAAAACAGGAGAAGAATCTCATAGGAAATCTCACTTTACAAGGCAATCAGTGCGAGTCTGTGTGATAAGATCCACTCGACCGAGCTGCGTTTCCAATTGCCAGTTGTCTTGGAAAAGTCAGTGCCAGTTTACTTAGATTACGTAGAGGTCACGTTACAGCTGTGTGACTACACGTAAACTGAGCTAGAGGACCAGGAAAAAACTATTTCTTTGCTTCAGGAACAGCTGAAGGAATCAAATTCGCAGACGATGAGCGACTGTATATCGAAACTCCTTAATGGCTAATGCAGGAGTATAGAATATGTACATTTATTGTCTTAGTACAGGATACAACATTGTATGGTTTGCACGACTCTTTGTTCTGCGTTTGCAACGCAACAGATTTTGGAGCATAAAAATTTCATTCAAAAAATCAAAGACACGCGAAATTTGAAAAATAAAAAACAAATCAAAGACGCGCGAAAAATCAAAAATCGAAAATCAAAGACGCGCGAAAAATCAAAGACACGCGAAAGACACGCGAAAAAATTTGAAAACATTTTAGCGAATATCATAGGATTTGGGGCAGGCATTCATATACCTTGTAAATAGAAACATGAATCGAAATAATGTAAATTTAGACGTTACATTTATGTAATAATTATAAGGCATCTTAAACAAAAATAAACCTAAAATTCAATCATCAAAACATGCCTCACAAATGAAGAAACCTAAATATTGAGGGAAACTATTCATTTTACCCATTATGCGTGACCGCTAGCTCAGTTTATCACAGATGAGAATTTAGAAATCATTAAAATCTCTTACATCCAAACTTCATACAAATAATTAACGAATTATACTGAAAACACCAACCTATTATTGACTTAATTCGTACACAATCCTTTTTCTTCTATGGTTTGAGACTCCCGATCAAAATGATGACAATGTATATAAGCAGCATAAGAAATAAAGACAACGATCACATTTCGTCCTGAACAAAACTTATAAACTTTTCACCCGTCCAACCGACTGCATGTATAATTTGTAAAAATTAGATCAGTACTCACTGCACTAAGTGACAGAGAGCGCATTTTCTCGTCAACGAAAATGTGAAGTCACGGACGGACGTTTTCTCACGGACGGACATGATGTTTGAAGTCAAGGACGGACATGACGAGCACAATAGCGCCTTTTTCCATATATGAGAAAATGCGCTAAAAATTAGTCAGGGTTGCGCTAAAATATGATAATAAATAAGAAAGTCAAACAGTCGTTTCCATAGTAACTTACCCAGATTTTGCGGTTTGAGCGGAAGTGACCGCATGAGTTTAGCGAAACCAAGAGAAGACATGCCTATTATGTCTGTGTATATGATGCCTGGACTCTCACATCTTTTCGTCACAGCCATTTAAATTTTCTTTAAATTTATTGATTTAGCTTTTTTGAAACTTCTCTTCGTAGTTGGATTTGAGTTGAGATTATTCCTTTGTGTAGAGAAGTTGCAAAATTTGAAATCTTAACAGCAACTATTGGCTTCTGTTAAGATTTGGATATTGGATCGACAATTATTAACGATACTATAGCCATGCTAGCATATAGCCTCATATAGAAGATTTAAATACTCGTCAATTTCATACGGTATTATGTGCAGTTATTTTACTAAATTTTATTGGGCCTTTTCTCAGAGTCAATGAGACACTCGATCCGTCTTCATTCATTTTCCCCCTTAAATTCGTTCTTTCGCGGCAATAGAATAGCTCATATTCTTAACCGTGCATTTTCCGCATGAAATATTTTATTCGTTCGATTTTTCTCTCTTTGGTAATGTTTTATAATCCTCTCGATGTTCTTCGGAAAATTGTATGCATTAAAACAATTAATATGTAGCCATTTAAAGTTTTAATCATCGTCCACGTTTCTGGAATTCTATATCCAACCGCTATCGTGCAACTTGTTCGATGAGCTTGATACACCTCCACTACTACAATATGTTGGCGATTATTCGATCAGTTATTCGTTATCTAGCTTTACTATACCTGCTTGTTTAAAAGGAAACTGACTCTTTTCTTCACATTTTATTTAGTCAACCTGTAATTTCACGTATTTTCTTGGGTGTGAAATACGCCCGCTGGCTCATACTGCGTACGTCGGAGCTCTGCACACAGACAAAAATTTCTCTAGGTTTAAAAGGCATAAACTGTGCTTCAATTGCCTAATTTATTCCTAATAACAATCGCTTTAGTCATGAGGGAGATCCTCTTGAAAATCAGAATTGGTATTAAATACTAATCTTTACAAGACTGTTGAATTTTTTTATTCATAAGCTATACATTTGCAATTATCATATTGTCTTGTTTCATTATCAAAATCATACGAATTCAAAGCGCGTCATTTCTTACATGAAACGCATCACTTTTCGTTCTTATTTGCTCTGCGTATAAAACTTGACGGACTCAATTTTATTTAAAGAAACTAGGTGCAGTAGATCAAATTTGGCCACGAAACTTCCAAGACTCCATGATGGAAGATAAATAATAATTTGTCAATTATGCGAGGCATACTCATAATATTTGGCTCCACGTTTTCTGCAACCCAGAAACTCGTAGAACGTAGATATCTCTTAATTGCCGTTCAAAAGGATAATATAACAAAACAAAAGATCAATTAGTCTATTTACATAACTGAAGACATGACGATAATAAAATCAATAATCATTTTTTGAGTACTTAAACACTTGTTCAATCTTATGTTATAATCGAAATTAATACAGATTCGGTCTTTCAGGAGTAGATTAAAGGTTGTAAACCTCTCTGCGGAGATTTCATATAAATACTTCAACATGTAAAGTGATTATGCATGCTCAGAGAAATAATTAAAATTTGTAGACAAAGTCTCAAATTCCATTCATTGAATTTTTTTATTCTTCAATCTTTTGTCCTGCAGTCAATAAAAGAAAATTATTACGTATTGGATCCATTACATTTCTGCTGAAATACGCAACGCTAAGTATTTTATACGCTGCATTCGCGGGTGGAATTAATTTGTGAACTGAACTCCCGACCGTTCCACATATAACCATGATGTATAATCTGATGACATTCATCATTCAAGGGATTATATTAATGCAATCTAATATTATATTCGAATTTTAATTGCTCAGTATTTAAGCGACAATTTAAACATCAGTAATTATACAAATGCCGATTATACCCTTAAAATTAAATTTAATACCCTTAAATACCGATTAATGTACATCGAAGTGATTCATCGGAATGGCTAGCAACTTTATTGGTCTGTTGTGAATACATTCAATTAAATATAAAAAATGTATGTCTTTGATTAATATTGATTGATTGCGAAACGATAGATCCCTGGCGAAACGTAAATTCCAATGAAATCTTCTGATCAGACCCCTACTATATAAATTTAAAGCTAGGTATACATAAATATTGCTGGTTCTAGCTCAATCAAGGCCCAAAAGGGTTCAACATTTCAAACCGACAAACTTCTTTGGAAAATGTTCCTTAGCGCAATGTCGAGCTCAGCGAGTGTCATCTTCTTATATTGAATTTTCGATGTCATAGGAAGTTTAGGAGCGGTTGGGGAAGCAATAGGACTCCTGAGTGTGTGAGCTGCATCGCATCGCTGACACGACGAAAAGTAGATAGCCGGTTGATTGATCGGTTGAGACGGCGGTACAGGACCACACATAGCGGGCTGGATAGCCGATGGGTTGTTCGGTTGAGACGACAGCAGCGGATGACACAGATTAGGCTGGATAGCCGGTGGATTGCTTGATGGTAACGATGTTACAGTATTACACGTTGAAGACAGGATTGCTTCATTAATGTTTACGTTGAGCAATTGTCCACGCTTGTACTTGAGAGGTTGGAAAGTCGGTTCATTTGGTGAATTAGGCTCAGAATTTAATGTAGTTTGTTGCATAGAAAATAGATTGTTCTGGTAAAATGTCTCTCCATAATTGATTGCAGTGGGTTGGACAGTAGGTTGATTGCTTGGATATAGCAAAGACCCAAATTGACCGGTTGAGACGGCAGTACAGGATCGCACATTGCGGGCTGGATAGCCGGTTGATTAATCGGCTGAAATGGCGGTACAGGATCGCACATAGCAGGTTCGATAACCTGTGGATAGTTCGGTTGAAAAGTTGGTACAATTTCGCACATAGCGGGCTGAATAGCACGTGGATAGCTCTGTTGAAAAATCGGTACTAGATCGCACATAGCAGGTTCGATAGCCGGTGGAAAGTCCAGTTGCGACGATGGAATTGAATCACATATAGCAGGCTGAATAGCCGGTTGATTGATCGGTTGAGACGGCGGTACAGGATCGCACATAGCCGGCTGGATAGCCGATGGATTGTTCGGTTGAGACGACAGCACCGGATGACACAGATTAGGCTGGATAGCCGGTGGATTGCTTGATGGTAACGATGTTACAGTATTACACGTTGAAGACAGGATTGCTTCATTAATGTTTACGTTGAACAATTGTCCACGCTTGTACTTGAGTGGTTGGAAAGCTAGTTCATTTGGTGTATTATGCTCAGAATTTAACGTAGTTTGTTGGATAGAAAATAGATTTTTCTGGTAAAATGTCTCTCCATAATTGATTGCAGTGGGTTGGACAGTAGGTTGATTGCTTGGATATAGCAAAGACCCAATATTGTTCATTGTAGGCTGAAGAGCAAGATTCATATTTGAATTGGAACACAATCCAAGTGGGTACATGGCAGGTTGGATTTGTGGATTAAATGCCTGGGCAGAATTGCACACATTGTGCTGAGCAATCGCTTCACAGCTTGGGAATGGCGATGGTTCGGGATTGTGTATAGGTTGGAAAATTGCCGGTTGATTGCTCTGATAAGACGATTGTCCATAATTGAAAATATTAGGCTGGATCTCTGGTTGAATGTTCGGGATGGATGATGGGCAAGAATTAAATACTGACAACCGGATAACACTTTGATTGCTTGGGTTGGACGGCGGCTCAGGGTGTTGTATAGAGGCCTGCATTGCAGGTTGATTGCTAGGATAATACGTGGACATAGTATTGCACGCATTGAACTGGTTGACTGGGGGATTCATTTTCTGGTAAGAAAATGGCTCAGTGTTATGCAAATTGAGCTGAATTGTCGGTTGATTGTTCGGGTAAGACTGCAGTCCAGGACCGTGCATCGTAGTTTGGAGCGTCGGCAGAGTATTTGAAGGAGATACAGACTCAGGATTGTATATTTCAAGTTGGATCGCCGATTGAATGGTCGAAGGAGATGTCAGCTCACGATTGTAAGGCACAGATTGAATCGCCGGTTGATTGTTTAGGTCTGGTAATGGACCAGTTATGTGCTCGGTTGGTTGGGTTGCCGGTTCAGGAATTGGAGGAGACGATGACCCAAGTTTATATGTCTCAGGCTGGATCACAGGTTGAATAATCGGAGGAGACGTCACCTCACGATTGTAAGTGACAGGTTGAATCGCCGGTTGATTGCTTGGGTATGGCAACAGTGCACGATTTTGCCCTGGATAATGAATCGTTGATTGGTTGCTTGGGCACGTTAACAATCCAAAAGTACACAACTCGGGTTGGATTGCCAGCTGAATGAGCGGAGGAGACGAGGGCCCGACATTGTACTTCATGGCTAGGGTTGAATGTTGATTGTTGATTGACATGGATCCAGAATTGTGTGCAAGGGTTTGGATATTTGATTGAATGCTTTGACAATGCGCTGGCCGAGGATTGTACGTCACTTGTTGATTTTCCGGTCGAACATAATTGTAAGGCGACGGCGTAAGATTGTGCGTAGTATGCTGAATTGATTGTTGAAGCATCGTTTGATTGTTTGGGCAATGAATTGGCACATGATTACACGTCGACGGTTGGATCGCTGGCTGCTTGTTTGGATAGTTCACTGGCCCAGAATTGCAAATCATGGGTTGAATGGCCGGTTGAATACTAAGAGGAGATGATGAATCAATTGTGTAGATACCTTGTTGCTGGATCACAGGTTGAATGCATGGGGGAGAGGAAGACCCAGGATTGAAGGTTATAGGTTGACTCGCTGGTATATTGTTTTGGTAAGGGGAGGGTACAGGATTATGCATGTTGGGTTGAACCCTCGGTACAGTTCTGAGGCCAGGCACCGGCATAGGATTGCATGCCGACGTTTGGATTGTTGGTCGATTGTTTGGGTAGGACAACGGTCCAGAATGGCACGTTAGAGGTTGGACTGTGGATTGAATGCCTGGAAGAGATGGCAGCAAATTACTATGTGTCGAAAATTGTACCTCGTTTTGATTTTTCACATATTGCGGCGTACCCAAATTGGACGTCGACGGTTGAATCTCATCTTGATTGTTCACATATTGCGACGAGCCAGGATTCCACGTGGAAGACGAAAGTTGGATTGAAGGTTGGTTGCTTGGATAATACAACGGCCACGGATCGGACGCCTGGATTGGCGGTTGAATGCTCTGGTTATACGAGAGGCCAGGGTACGTAGTGGGTTGGGTTGTCGGTTGAATACCTGAACAAGGATAATGTCCGGAGCTGTTCATCGGAGGCTGAATTACTGATTGCATGCTTGGGTAACACGGCGGTAAATGATCGTACGTAGCGGGGTTGGTGGTTGATTGAACGATTTTATGACTGTATGTTGCGGTTACGATTGCTGGTTGATTGCCTGGGTGCGGCGATAATCCAGGAATAAATGTCATAGGCTTGATCGCCGGTTGGATGCTTGAAGGATATACTGGTTCAGGGTTGTTTGCAACAAGCTGGAATGTCGATTGAATTGTTTGGTTTATAGGCGGGGCTTGCTTGGACAATGAGCAAGGCAAATCACTTGAAACAGTCAGAGTTGTCGGGGCCATTCTCTTCTCACTAATTGAATTTTTTGAGGTATTTACAGATATGTCTGATTGAATATAACAAGAATCTTCGTTCTCAGGTTCAAGTTCGTTCTTAGGTTCAAGTTCGTTCTCGGGTCCAAGTTCGTTCTCGGGTCCAAGTTCGTTCTCGGGTCCAAGTTCGTTCTCGGGTTCAAGTTCGTTCTCGGGTTCAAGTTCGTTCTCGGGTTCAAGTTCGTTCTCGGGTTCAAGTTCTTTCTCAGGTTCAATTTCGGTCTCGCATTCATACACGGTTCGCAATTTCGAAACGTGCAAGAAAAACTGTCCTTGAAAAACTTTCCTTAATTTTATCACACGAGTCTTCTCTTTCATTCCAGTTAAAAACTTCACACTGGATCCTTCCTGGTCAGACATAGGCGTAAGATTCAAATTTTGTGCTGCCAAAAACTTCAAACTTTTACTGAGCGTATCAAAATGATCACCATTGAAGTTAATCACGCCAAGGTCTCTCTGCTGTTTAAAAACAATTCACTAGCAACACGAGAAATAAAAATACGACATTATTCAATTCAGTTTCGATGTCCACAAGTCACTTCGTTCCACCGAGAAGGTTCGTACGAATGTCTCGCTTCACTCCCACTGAATGAATTTCTACACAACTGTGCCACCACGTTTATACATCCAAGACTCCGCCCAAATATCTTCAGCCAGGCGAAACCAAATGGCCCAAAATTTTACAACCATCCCTGTAACGTAGATTCAAGTCAATTTCCGCCAATCCACAGGTCATTTCTTTAAGTCGACATCTTATTGGTCTCACGGAGTATCTTAGTCAAGCTTTTACTTTCTTTGCTTTGACTTTATATCGTGCAAATGTTTAGCCAGCGCATGGATAAGCTCCGTTAAAATTTTAGGCTTTTGTTTCGATTAATCGAATTTCATGCAATTGAATTGGGGAAAATAGATTTAATTAAGAATAATTAAACTTATCCTTGCAGTTGATGAAAAATACCTATATCTTCTGACGCTCTATGTAACAGCTGGAAATTTCAATTAACCTTTGCTATATATTGCTCAATAAAGCACTTTTCTATCGACGGCATAGTGCATTCAAAAATATTTCTATTCATATTCAAAGCGGATTACACAAATAAGCAAATCATTAAAAGATCACAGGAAATTTGTTTTGCTGTCATAAGCGTAAAATGAAAATTTTTTTCATTTTGAGAACGCGAGAACGTATTTTAGTGCTAACAGGAGATACTTGGTTATTCGTAAACAAGCTCATCAAGCATGCTGAATTACTTGACATAAACACAATACAATAACAAGTATTCATTTGAACTATTCTAGTGGCTTTTTATTAACTGAAACACATGGATTAGGAAGATAGCGTCTCTACATATAAACGGCCATGCGAATCTAGGTACCTGGTGGGATTGCATATAGAATTCCACCCCGAATGTCAGTAATTTACTGTCAGAAAATATCAATTATTCGGATATACTGCATCTTTGGTATCATCAATGATACAGTTGCAAATTGGATTAAAAACCGTTGTTTTTTTGGAGTTTAATCATTGAAAATGTTTTTTTTAAGGACATGAAATGCTATATGTATTCCAGGAGAGGTTTTTCAACCTAATTAATTAATCATCTTCTGATTCAATTTAAACACTTTCAGCGTTATTTTTTCACATAAACAAATACTTGTTTAGTCTAGTAAATAGTTCATATTTTAATCTAAATAAACGTGTAATTACACTTATCATGTTCGCTATAATATTGCGCCATTAAACTAAACTATTTCACACCAGAAGTCATGAATGAACGTCACCAACGAGGTGGAAGGTTCAGTTAACACAAATCTAACACATCAAAATTCGTTCGTCATCCACAAGAGGCGGAGGGTCTCAAGTGTCCAGCTTTCTGAAGCTGGCAAGAAGTAAGCAGCGTTAGCATCTCACAGAGACGAGGTGAAAAATATGCTAGAGAAAGGAAAAGTTTTGTTGGTGGGTTGAAGGTAAAGAAGAAGTTGCACGTTGGCCGTTTGTAACACCTGGACTCAGTAATAGTTATTCAGTTTTAGTCTTCATCGTTTTCTTTCAGTTTCAGTCTTCTCTCTACCGGCGCTTGCTCTCCTGGGCCTATACTTTCAAAATTCGATATATGAATGTAAGTACTTATACGTTCTATTTTCTTGTCTACGATTGGTGGATTTTGCTTGAAAGGCCGTCAATGATTGGAACTTACGATCTCTTAACTTTTTTTGAAAGTATAGGCCCAGGTCGTCAGTAGTCTCTCACAACATACTAGAGAAAGGTGAAAACAACTGTAGCAAAGACACTCGTAATTAAGAGAGGTCGCTTACACGAGACGTTGGCCGCTCTTACTAGAAAGAAAGGCAAGAGAAATGTAAGGAATCCTGCCTACATAACAACTTAATCCCACAACTGAGATCCGCGGTCAGACACGGTAGAGTTCCGTGGTGGGACGCTCAAGAACAACGGTCCTAGGAAATCATATAGGACTTCCGATGAACACAGACACGCGTCAAAAGATCCCATGGGCAGTACCATGGATAAGAGAAAAGTCTTTACAAAGAATTTGGCATTGTGCCTAGAATTAGATATATTCACTTAACGAAGATTTACGAAGTAGAAAAGCAAACAATAATCAGAATATTTTATGACCATTACGAAATTGCAATTTTCGAAGCTCAAGAATGAAAACTAACCGAGGTTAATCTTTCATGACAAACGCTATTTTTGATTCCGCGTTGGCTTCTCTTCTCGTGGCCACTTTTTAATATGATAAATTTGATCTCTGATAACGTCTTGTCTCCAGTTAATTTCAGAATTCTTCACTGAGCGAACGCATATAAGTCTAGCATTTTAGCAGCTAAGCGAAAATTTGGCAATGAATCGCTCCAAATTTCCTTTTCAAGGAACTATTATTTTCTATAATTATTTTTAATTTGGTGATTATATATTTGTACGAATACCTTTACCGACTTCGTAAATCATGTGATTTTATAATAAAATACAGAAATTAATTAAGAACAGTAGAATAATTCATTATCATTTTCTCAGTCTATCGGCTCATGTTTTTTTTTGTGATGGAAGAATAGAGTAAGCATCGAAGAATCTATTCGAATCCAGAAACTGTGATATCTAAGAGGGACTTCATAACAAATGAGTAAGTCTAAAAATCTAGTGCACTGCACTGTTTATTGCGGATACTATATTAAGATTGGGAGGATCTTTTTCTACCTTTCTGTATCTGCTCTGAAGAGAACATCGATGGCTGATATAATGGTTCTGCATTAAGCTTAACGAATAATTTCAAAATCGTGTTATCTACTCGGATAAATTAAACAAACTGTCATCATTTTTTTAATAAAACAACCGAAATTAGAACCGATGAATGACTTTTAACTTCATAACTTCAAAAATCTGCTAAAATTCAATCTGTCTTTCCTTATTTCATAGTTATATTATTATTCGAATTTTCATCTTAATAATAGCTAACATTATTACAGATTATTACGGTAGCGCAAATGTTTGTGGTTATTTGCATTTCTATGTTCAAATTCATAATTTTATCAGCGTCTCTTCAAACTAATACGTACATCCGTTTCTTTGTAATAATACGCAAGACGTAAACTGAGGTCTTAACTTAATGCGCATTTTAATACTTCAATTATAGTTTTCATCTATAATAATTTTTCCTACTCTAAGCGTAAAAATTATTTCCGATTTGCTTCTACGGCTGAAGATATTTAATGATCCTGTCAGAGTTTAGCTTTAGAACTTTTATCTTGAGAAAGTTTCCCGTCTGCAAGCTATAATTCCACTGTCCGATTAAAACACAAAGGGTGAAGTGAACAATGAGTAAATTGGCTTCTTATTAATTCAGTAGGTAAACTCGAGCCTTCGATCTCGCTTGCTAACTTATGCATTAGAAATTAATAATTAATTGAATGGAAAATGCATGCATTTATCGAGGGAACTCGCATCTGCGTATGCAATCCAGTGAACGATACTAGAGTTTGTTAAAATTAACATATAAGATATTTTTTTCGCTTAAGAGTAAGTTCTGGAGAATTAATTTCTAGTTCTTTTGTTTACAGAAACCAAGAGTGAACCACTTTGTAGAAATTAAGAATAAATCTAAACAACATAAAATTTACAATTTGAAATTTTCACGCATGCATGATATGAGATATTTACGGTCTCGCAAAATTGTCACTATAATTAAGTAATGATTGCATTGTGAGTTTATATGATCATTTTATATGTGATTATTTTGTGAGTACATTAGAGTCATTTATAATTTACGTCAGAGTCTGGACAAACATAATCAGATAATTCGAATGCACGGAACGAATGATTGATAACCTAAGCATTTTTTAAAGTTCTCCATCTTGAGTAAAGTATGACTATAATATTGCTCGCACACGCTTTGAAGAAATAAACTAGTACCGTGCTGTCAAGTAGTGAAAATGTGTTGAATTTGATATTGTACTTGCACAATTTCAAATTGTTATGACATCCAAAGATCACGCTTACATCACGGAATAATTAAATCTTATATCAGAGGGATATTGTGAATAACATTCAAATAACTGAGCGATGGGTTCTACTTGAAAATTTTGCTAAGGCGATTCTGAAAGTCCCTGAAGAACGCCCTCTTTGTCTTTTTTCTTGACGTCTTCTGAGTGCCGTTATTTTGAGCAGCTGTGGATGACGTTTGTATCAACATTTTAAAGTCTGGATAAGAAGTGAAGTCTTGAGATGAGGACTCCTCAGGCGACATCGCAGTTTGATTATTTAAATCAGAAGATGAACTATGATGTTTCGATGAATAAATCGCGTAGGTTTCGATTGTTAAGTTTTCTTCAGCTAAACTTGGCTCTGACACTTCAGTTAGAATTGTGAGAGATGAATCGTAATCAGTTGAATCTGTTGTCGACACTGGAAGGTTTAACCTTGTAATGCCAAAATCAACACATGGAACTTGTTTAGGTTTAGTTGGCTGATAAGATTTAGGTGGAAAAACATCATCGTTCCTGTAGGTCGTGACGAAGCAATACTTTGATTTCCGACAGTTCCATCTTTTTTTCGGTATCCTACCCATGAAGAAAGCGTGACGTTCTTCTTCGGTGCTAATTTTTCGGGAGAGTGAAGGCTTAGGATTGTTAAAAGACGTAAACACATTCTGGCTTCGGATCACTTCACTATATTCTGGCAGTGACTGACCGGGCTGCAATCTTGGGATGTCGATGGTCATGTTTCCTCTTATTACTCTGAAAATCCTCATTTTTCGTCTGTTTAGCAGTTTACCTTCAGTGTGGTCCAACCAAAGTTGTTTCGTAACATCGATATGACGAGATGAGGCAGTTTCCATTGTAAA